CCGCCTCACCCCTCAGTCACATATTTGATCCCCCCGTCCTCTCTCGCGTTGATTCTCCGTTCCCCCCAGGACGAGAACGCCTACAAGAAGGACGACGGGAACGCTTCCGGGGTCGGCCCGCAGCGCCTGTACCCGGATGGCCTGACCCCTCCCACCAAGAACATCGTAAGGAGGCGTTTCGTCAAGGCCCGGCCGGACAGGGGGAAGTTCGACCGAGCGGAGGTGCGAGCTGGCCTAATGTTGCTGACGGTGACGACAACGATGATGATGACCATGGATAGCGATTTGTTTTGTACAGTCGACCCCGCTCGATGGACATCCATGTTTTTTCCTTTTTCAAAGTGTACTTAACGCGAGAAAGCGTCCTTGAGGCCGGTACCCCCCATACTATCTTGTACATCTGGGGGGACCCTGAGTTTTTTTTTTGTTCTTAAAGCTGGAAATTGACTTCAGACGAGTGCCCTTGTAGCGGGGACGACCGTAGTAGCAACGAATGAAGCGCGCACCGAGAGACACGAGAAATATCCCAAGGGGAAGAAGACAGTGGTTTGCACTTGGTTCTCACACCACAGGGCGGAGTGCGCATTGGCCACGTGCAATAAGTCCTATCACGAGATTCAGAGGTAGTGATTGGCTGCGTGGGTTGGTGCCCGAGGGGAGACGGCGCTAGGTGCTGCGCCTCGTGGTTGAGCCGCGTCGCGAGGAGATTGTGGACCCGTTACACACGACAGTCAACCTAGGACGTTTCCACACGAGAAGGAGCAGCACGGGGGAGGGTCAGCAGGCGTTATTCCGTGATCGACACACGCACCGGCAGCCCTGAGAGACCCCTCACCGCGACCCTCCCCTGCTTTCCAACAAAACAGGTAATTCGCGTGGAAAGCCAGGTGCTGAAGATGCAGCAGGATGTCCCCGAAGGCCCGGACAAGAGCAAGAAGGCAGGCTCTAGCGGAGGCAGCGGGATCACCGCGGGAGGGGGGATGTCGGGGAGCTCTTCGCGAGGGGGCTCCGCGGACGCGAGCGGGGGGGGTAGCAGCTCTTCGCGGAGTCGCACCTCGAGAAGTAGCGGGGGTGGTGGCGGCAGCAGCGGCGGCGGCGGGGGAGGCGGTGGCGAAGTCGACTGCGATGGCGTTACCTTCGAGCACGAAGAGATCGTCCCTTTCGAGCCGTGGATGGCCGACCCGAAGTTCGCCGCTCTAGGGCGCCTGGAAGGCATCACGCTCGAGGTGCCCTGTTTTTACGTGACGAAAAGCGTTTTTCGCCGCCAATCCGCTCGCCCGCCCCGTGTTGTGTTGTCTGCGGCTCGTTGCTTTGAAGTGATGAACTCTCGTTGCTAGTCGAGGTGTCTGCAGCGTCGTCTGCGCTTTGCCCTGTCCGGCGGTTTGTTCGGCTCCAGCTACTTCCCGGGTGGCACGGGCTGGTGTCATCTCCCTCGTCCTCCCAGGCGATAACTCTTGTCCCACTGATGTTGTGTCGCCTTCCTTTCACCATTGTCCACGCTTTTTCATCGACGGTTTCTTGCTGTTGTTTCCGCCGCCGCCTCCTCCTCCCCTCCTACATACCTGCCGACCGCCTTTTCTACGTTGCTTGAGTCAAGACACACGTACAGAGCACCAAAACGTCAAACCGGTGTGACCCCTGTTCTATTTATATGTTAGTCGGGTGATGCTCCCTCCGGATGTATGTGTCAGGAAAGGGATGATAGGTCAATACCCCAAAAACTCTGGGGCGATCAGATGAAGATATCGCCTCAGCCGAGGTCGGCCAAATCATCCCCCGCCCCGATATAGCGGCAGCAACCGAGCACTGCCCCCCGTCCCCCTCACGCCAATGGTATCGACCCTATCCCTTAGTCCCCTCGAGGACGCGTGGTCAATGGTCTAACCGCTTGGCACGCTAAACATGAGTACCCCTCCCCCCCCCCCCCCCCCCCCCCCCCCCCCCCCCCCCC